GCACACATCTTCTGCAAGGAGTCATTTCTTGTATCTTCTCCCCCATGAGCGCTGCGACTGATTGTTCCAGGGCGACGCCTGTTGGCGGTCTCTGGGGAAACGCTGAGTCGCTGGTTGCCGCGATGAGAAGGACTGTTCTCTGGCGGGAGGGGCTGGCGTCGGAGCGAGGCGGGAGGACGCTGCTGCAGCTGGGGAACGTCTCTACTGCTGCCTCTGGCCACGACGATCTCTCCAGCGGGCGGGGGGACGGGAGGAGGGGTGTGGCTTCATCAGGTGGCGCACGGTCTCCGACACCTCCTCTGACTTCTTCGACTTTTCAAGCATGGCCTTGAAATTGGCCCCGAACAGTGTGTCCGTCATGATGGGGCCCTCCAGAAGGTCTTTCTGCAGTTTCTCTGGCAAGGAGGGGGAGTGTCGAAGCCAGGTGGACCTCTGGATCATTGTCATCCAGGCGGCGATGCGAGACAGGCAGAACGCAGAGGAGGCGCACAGGTTCAGGATGACGTCAGACGCTTTGCAGAACGAGCTCCTCATCTCCTCAGGCTTTGCAGAACGAGCTCCTCATCTCCTCAGGCTTTGCAGAACAAGCGCCTCATCTCCTCAGGCAGGTCTGTGTCCTCCAGCCTTCTGGGGATGCTGTAGGCCAGCAGGGCGACATTGGTGTTTGCTGCGGCCGCCTGGAAAGCACACTGGTGGGCTCGGTTGGAGAGTGACGTCACCGTCTGGTCGTGTCTCCCTGGAGGGACAGGACGCTGGTCCAACCTGTACACTTTTGCTCCGAGTGCTTCCGCCAGGCATGGCTCCGGGGGGCGTACCAAGGGAAAATTCCGCTCGGTAAACCCCTCCACTCTGGTGATGGGAGCGAAGGTGGAGACAGGCGCCTTCAGCCTACCAGGTCCGGCTGCAGCCTTGTTCCAGTAGGACGTCACTGCTGGAAAACGAGGCCAGATGGGGTCAGGGCGGCGAGCCGGGGTGGAGCCAAACCTTCCCGCTAGATCATCCGATCAGGGCGGAGGGAAGAGAGGGATGGAAAGTCCCTTTGTGTCAGCCGCCTCCTGGATTATGCCGGGTAGCTCCGAGAGTAGGGCTCCAACTGCTGGGAGCAGTGTGTTCGCCGATGCGGAAAGGCCCGGGGGGGGGGGGGGGGCGGCTAGCATCCGCTCCGCCCCCCCTGCTCCAACACTACGCTCTCCAGGAGGGAATGAGCAGCGGGGCTGCTGCTGACGTCACCTTTCCTGAAAGAATTATCCGATTTGCTCCGTGACTCAGCATCAAAAAAGGTGATGGCGTCGTCCAGCGAACGGTCCCCCGTCACGAAGAGGCACTCCTCGATGTTAGCCTTGAACAAGGCTGCTTGCCTCTACCTCTCTTCAGGAGGGAGGAGGTCACAGAGATGACAGGTGGAGGCGAGGTCGGCGTGGCGGGGACCCAGGCATCCTTCACAGATGTCGTGCCGGTCAAAGCTCAGCATGTAGCCGGTCTTGCAGGACCGGCACAGGCGGATGGTGCTGGTGCTGGACATCGTGTTCTTGTAAAAAACGATGCTGGTTGCTTGCTGAAGAAAAATGGGAGCCGATTACCCGGTCTCACCGTAATTTATATGGACCGGGTGAGGCCCACTCAGCAGGTGGGCGTGGAGTAAAATTTTCAGTGCTGCGCTTCGCGCGACGGGATGAAACCCACCAGCGACAGCCTTAAAGGGCGAAGCCTATACGAAATAGAACTAATGACTTGACAGTTGTCCAAAAGACGACCATTGACACCTTGCACAAGGAGCGCAAGATGCAAAAGGTCATTGCTAAAAAAGCTGGCTGTTCACAGAGCTCTGTGTCCAAGCATATTAAAAGAGATGCAATGGGAAGGAAGCGATGTGGTAGAAAAAAAATGTACAAGCAATAGGGATAACCGCACCCTGGAGAGGATGGTGAAACAAAATCCATAAAAAAATGTGAGGGAGATTCACAAAGAGTGGACTGTAGCTGAAGTCGGTGCTTCAAAAACCACCATGCACAGACATATGCAAGACATGGGTTTTAGCTGTCGCATTCCTTGTGTCAAGCCACTCTTGAACAAGAAACAGCGTCAGAAGCATCTTGCCTGGGACTGCTGCTGGGTGGTCCAAGGTTATGTTCTCTGATGAAAGTAAATTTTGCATTTCCTTTGGAAATCAAGTTCCTGGAGTTTGGAGGAAGAGAGGAGAGGCACAGAATCCACGTTGCTTGAGGTCCAGTGTCAAGTTTCTGCAGTCAGTGATGGTTTGGGGTGCCATGTCATCTGCTGGTGTTGGTCCACTGTGTTTTCTGAGGTCCAAGGTCAACTCAGCTGTCTACCAGGAAGTTTTAGAGCACTTCATGCTTCCTGCTGCTAACCAACTTTATGGAGATGCAGATTTCATTTATCAACAGGACTTGGCACCTGCACACAGTGCCAAAGCTACCAGTACCTGGTTTAAGGACCATGGTATCCCTGTTCTTAATTAGCCAGCAAACTCGCCTGAACTTAACCCATAGAAAATCCATGGAGTGTTGTGAAGAGGAAAATGCAATACGCCAGACCCAACAATTCAGTAGAGCTGAAGGCCTCTATCAGAGCAACCTGGGCTCTCATAACACCTGAGCAGTGCCACAGACTGATCGACTCCATGGCTCGCCACATTGCTGCAGTAATCCAGGCAAAAGGAGCCCCAACTAAGTATTGAGTCCTGTACATGCTCATACTTTTCATCTTCATACTTTTCAGTTGGCCAACATTTCTAAAAATTCTTTTTTTTTATTTGGTCTTAAGTGTAGGGTTCTAAGGGCTAGGTTTAGCTGCCCTTGACTACAATATATTTAAATAAACAGGTTCTCTCTTTTTCGAGTTAAATTACAGCCATGTGACCGAGGTAACTGTGCGTAGATTGTTTAATCAGTGACATGAGACGTTAATTTTCTTTGACCCATCAGAATAAATGTGGTCATTTATTGAACAGAATCAAAATTTAACATCAAAATGTACAAGTGATTAGCTGATCTGGTTCTGATTAATAAAACTTGGCACGTTTTACTTAATAAAAACAACAGACATTTCTGAATGCATCTAGTTTAAAGATGGGAAATGAAGGAGTTTAAAGAGGAGGATTTAGATGGATGAAGAGGAAAGTGTGTTGACTGGGAATGGCACCCTTCATCCGACCCCAGCTCAGCCCCGGTACACTAGGTGCGTGGCGACTCGTTACCTTTAGACAGGGATACCTCCGCTCAGGAACAGGAGTCCATTTCAACGCGACCTTTCAGCGTCTCCGGTAAGGATGGCTGAGAATCGTCCGAAGTAGTGACGGTACTCCGTTCAACAAACACGCTCATCTCCCGGTTGGATACACAGCAATCTGTGAGTCCGTAAGAGGTTCCACTCAGATGTGGAAGGATCCATCACAGGCTCCGAAGACTAAGTTCAAGACTAGACTTCATCAGAGACCCGCTTGAGGAGCTCAGGAGACTTGACAGACTGACTGACAGACCCAGATGACCTGAGAAGTTCCAGGAAAGGTGGACTCTTAAAGAGTTCTCACTTCCGGTCACCTCAGGACTTCCTGATTGGTTGAAGCAACCAACAGGGGGTGGTTCTAGTGATGTCAGAGGGTAATTACAAGTCAAGAAAACAGCAGGAATGTTTTAGAAATGTCCCATACAGACAAAAGACATGTTATGGCGAAGTGGGAGGAAGAGAGGCCAGTAGCTTCTTGTTTACCGTCTGCTAGGTTTAAAAACACGACACTTCGTTCTAATAACTTCTTTCTGACTTTCGACCGACATCACTACTCTCTCATTCAGACAGAAGATCAAAAATGCATAATTACTTTGTAAAATAGACATTTAACTTGATTTCTAATTTAAATGAGGATTAAAAAAATCATTAATACTGTTTCACAGTTGATTTAAAATGAGTGGTTCACTTCAACATTTAGAAATGGTATGAACTAAACACACTTTTGATTTATCAAGATATTGTAAAATAGTGATGATAATATAAAAGAAGAGTGTTCTTTCAATTGATTACTTCAGGATACAATTAGACAGTCTCTGGATGAGCTAATTTGTATTTCTGGATTCAAATCAATGAAATGACAGTTCCTGTCCCATGAAGGTCCTCAGAGGCAGGTTTTGGTTGGAGGCCGAGTTCACTACATAAGTAATGTTCTAATTTTCTGAGATACTGAATTTGGGGTTTTCATTAGCTGTCAGTTATAATCATCAGTATTAAAAGAAATAAACATTTGAAATATATTGGTCTGTGTGTAATGAATTAATATAATATACAAGCTTCACTTTTTGAATGGAATTACTGAAATAAATCAACTTTTTCATGATATTCTAATTTTATGACCAGCACCTGTATATGCTTCCATTAGGTAAAGTTAATGGCATGGAATAATTTTTCATTGTTATGATGCTGATACTCAGTTATATTTTTCCAGGAAATCCAATGAATCCAGTCAATTACCGTACCGGTACTTAAAATGTAAGCATGTCTTAAAGATATAAAAACCTGGATTACCCTTAATTTTCTGCTTTTAAGCTCAAACAAGGAAGTCCAGAGTTGTGGTTTTTGGACCTGAGCATCTTAGGAATACATTTAGCTGTCTTTCACTTTCTCTGGACGACATTAATTTGGCCTCCTTTTCTTATGTTAATAACCTTATTCTCCCTCCCAAAAATGGAGAACTATTAGATCTTCCCAAGCAATACAGAAAATAATAATCAGTGCAAATTAATGTTGCATACTTTAAATGTAAATAAGATAAACTGAATTTAAATAAAAAGCTAAATGTGTATTTCAGTGGTTTTATGTCATGCTGAAGTTTAGTTTAAAAACATGCCTGTTTAAGGTCACGTGTCTTAGGTTATTATTCACAGAGACACATTGAAATTCTGTTGGAGTGTGTGACTTTATTTCTCTCTGAAAATGTTCATGGAATATGGAGCAGGGGCTGATGGGACTTGTTCATTCTTCATCCGAAGGTGCACCAGAAGGTCTGAGTGCCGGCGGGCAGAGGAGAAGAACGGCTGGCTGTGGAGCCCCAAGCAGCAGTGTGTTAAGATCGTATCTTTCTATCCCTCAAACCTTTCTTGCAAAAAGACAGACAAGGTACAACAATTTCTTCATTTGCTCTTTGTTCTGTTTTTGTCTGACTTTGCAGTGCAGTTCAATTCACATGCGTGTTACAGACGTATCTATAGTCTGAGCTGTAAACTGTTTACATTGTGAGTCAGAGACCCTGGGCTCTTGGTCTTCCTGTAACATATTGATCCACCCAGAAAAGTCCAAACTGTCTTATTATAACCCACCTTGCTGATTGTGTCTACAGAGTGAAGATGGAGAGCCTCTCTTATGTGCTTTGCTTCTTAAATTGTTTTTCTCATTCCCTCGCTTTCTGACTGTTTTTTGTCCCTCCTTTTCTGACTCGCACTTAAATTTCCATCAAAAGCTTGTCTCCTCCTTTCCTTCTCTCAATCAATCTCCTGTCTTTGGAAGGGAAATACTTTTTTTGCAACTTCTGTTTCATAGTGGAATTGTACTCAAAGCAGATAAATTAACTCACCTTTCTTAATTAAAATGCCTGACATGCAACATGTTGGTTTTTATGAATAATCAATATGTCTCAATGTGGATTTTTGTAACATCTATTTTTTGTTTGTGTGCGGGAGTAGTTACAGATCAACATTCCATCTCTTCCTGCAATCGGACCTTCTGACCATCTTCAATGCAACATTGATTCGTTTCGCAGTGAAGGCACCATGCTGGACTCCAGTCAGGTCTCCTGTTCTCTACCACCACCCCACCATATACCACAGACACCCGAGGACCAAGGTAAGAGTTTCCTGTGGAAACTCTCAAGGCAAATGTCAGTAAATCTCTGTTCCAGCTAATGCAGTTTCTTCTTAGTGACTCCAAAACCTTTAACTTCTGTGTCAATTAGTTTAGATAATTTGATTAATTGTAAACTCCAGAGTTGCAGGATGATGATTCTTGAATTTTAAATTAATTTCTTTCTTAGACATCATGTGATAAAATCTATATACAAGAGTGCAAATGTGATTTGTATTGTCTGCTAAGATTCATGAAAGGGTGACAACGATATGGATTTTCAAAAAATCCAGAAAATAACCATTGGCTGTTTTTTGCAACAGCTGAACAACCATTGCAAACACAAAAATGACTACTGTATTTTTCATCCTTTAAGTCACAGTTTTTTGCATAATCTGCATGCCCTGCGACTTATAAACTGATGCGACATATTTATGGATTTTTTTCCCATATTTATAAACCAGTTTTTAGCTGAGATATGACAGTTTCCATTCATTCTGACTGAAAATATTGAACACTACCATTTTCAGCCGCTAGATGGCAGTCAAGTAATATGGCATGCCGTTTTATCATGTAATAGGTAAAAGTGGCTATTAATGACACAACTGTAGTGGACTAGGCCTACGTCAAAACTAAGTCTAAGGTCAAAACTCTTGACCTTAAGAACCTTGTGGGACAGAAGCTGTCATTTCATGTATTTGAATCCATAAATACAGGTTCACCCATCCTGAGACTTTCTTTCTTGAAGATTCAAGTGAAAAGAACACTCTCTTTTTATTATCATTACTATTTTACAAATGTTGATAATCAAAGTGTCTTAGTTCAAACCATTTTAGATGTTGCAGTGAACTAATCAATTTTATTAACTGAGTAATGATTTTTATTCTCATGCAAAGTTAGAACTCATGTTAAAAGCTGTTACAGAGTTTATGCATTTTCTGATTTCTGCCTTTGAATGAGCAAGTGTGTGCGTTTCCAAGGTTGGAGTCAAACGAAAAACAAGTTGTTATGTTAAAACTGTCATGTTTTAGAATCCTCTCAGACGTAAATATAGATGTTTTGCACCTGTTTCTGAAACACGCCAAAACAAAACTCTCTCTGTCTGTGAGAACATTTCTGATCTGTTTCATAACAATTCTCGCTGTCTCTAACCTCTTACGTCACAAAACACACCCCGTCTGGTCGTTTCTGACCAATGAACAAATCCCAAAAGTGAACCGGGAAAGAGTCTTTAAAATGTCAGTACTTCCTGGTCTAGTCAGTGCTAAAGTTCTGATGGAGTTCTGCTAAGTCTGGTATGGTGCTGGAACCGTTCTGGGACAGTTCTGCTGAGTTCTGATGGAGCTCTGATGGAGTGCTGATGGAGTTCTGCTGGATACACAGTCCAACCAGTTCTGTTCATGTCTCTGCTCGGATGCTGTTTGATGTGGATGTTACTGACATGACAACAAAGCTCTTCCGAGTTCCATGGGATTATAACATTTTCCACTGAGGTGAATATGTGTCGAACAGAGCCTCGCCATTACTTCGGACGAGTAACAGCATCCTACTGAGACGCTGAAAGGGTGCGTTAAACGGAATTTTACCTGGAG